AAGGTCGTACCGAACAGGAAAGTACGACTCACTGCTTGGTGTTGGTGTGATCATTGGTTATCACACCAAGAAAGTATTATTTATTGGCGCGAAGAACAAAATTTGTTGTATATGCCGGAATGCAGCCGTAAAAGAAAAAGACCCGCCACACCATCAATGTTTCAAAAATTGGGGTAGAAATAAAGCGTCTACCAAGATGGAGAGCGATGCCATCGTAGAAGGTTTCAAGAGCAGTGTCGAAAAAAGAGGATTAATTTATTCGACACTGTTTGCTGATGGCGATAGTAGCGTCTACAAAAAAATTTTAGACTGCGACCCATATAAAAATATGATTCGTGTAAAGAAAATTGAATCCACGAATCATTTGTTGCGCAACTTCGGCAATAAGTTAAAAGAAGTTGCGAAGAAGACTCCGCCGGGCTGTTATAGACAAGCCATCGAAAATAATATTCGACGGATGCGTATGGGAATTACAAAAGCTGCAGAATATAGATTTAATGAAAATACTTCGATATTACAGAGACAACAAAAATTATACGAAGATATTATGAATGTATCCAGCCACGTGTTTGGAGAACATAAAGACTGCAAAAGAATTGGATATTTCTGCAACGGAACGATGAAGGAGAATGAACAAAACATCGTCCCACATTTATTAAACCTGGGAGTTTATCAAAAAAATACAAGATATTCTTCGATCGTTGGCGGCACACGCAAAAAGCTTACTGTACCGAACCAACAATAATACAGTAGAAAGTTTTAATGCCATCATTGCGAAATATATTTGCGGAAAACGCATTAATTTTGGCCAAAGAGGATCATACACAGGAAGATGTGCTGTGCTGTAATTCAGTACAACACTAAATAAGTGTTGTCTCGATTACAGAGAACGTGTGGAAAAGAGCCGCCACAGCTGTTACTAAATCTAGAGAATTCGAAGAAGAAGAAAGAATTGACAAATACCGAAAAAGAAAAGAAGAGCGAGACCAAAAAGAAAAATTTCCGTGCAAGTAAAGATAATGATTACGGACCAAATGCACAGAAGTGAGACATGGATGAATTTATGTTCGATCTCCAGAAAGAGAAACATCTGGAAATGCTGAACGAATGGCAAAATCAAAAAGAAAAAATTGAGCAGGAAACCATAGAACAATGTAAAAGCAGGAAATGGTTGGCTCACAAGACAAAACTTTTGACAGCGCCCAACTTCGGTAAAGTTTGCCGCCGATGCAAAGATACACCGTGTGCCAAGATGGTACAGTCTCTGTTGTATTCACGTGTATTGAACGTTTCTGCCGTAGAATACGGACTGGAGAATGAAGAAATTGCTCGGGGAGAATTGTCGAAAAAGGAAAACATTGAAATAAAAAAATGTGGTCTTTTCATCGACGCATCCTATCCTATTTGGGAGCATCGTCGGATGGCGTTATCGGTGAAGACGGCATTGTAGAAATAAAATGCCCGAAATCTGCAGAAGATGTTACTCCAGAAGAGGCAATAACAACAAAGAAGTCTGTGAAGGCCATATTTACCGACAGTACGGGCAGCGCATTGCGCAAAACACACCCGTACTTCTACCAAATCCAAGGACAATTACACACAACGGGTAGAAAATACTACCTGTTATGTCTGTGGACCAAAAAAGGAATCATGTCCATTCGTGTTGAAAAGGATGACGATTTTTGCAAGTGAGAAATGGAACCAAAATTAACACAATTTTATCTGAATTGTATGCTGCCAGAAATAGTTGACAGCAGATATAACAGAGGCATGCAATACGGGAGCCTCAGAATATCAAAAAGTGAAGGTAAGTAAGAAAAAAAAGTTTAATAATATAAAGTGACGATCCAAAGGCTAACCGACGTCGAGCTGCACACTTTCAGATAAGTGCGCAGACTCGCTGATTCTATCAGCGAATGAATATAATATTAAAATATTATATTAAAGTTGTAATTTTCAGACGTCGAGTGCACTTACAAAAGTGCAACCCAGCTGACTCAATCAGCTGGTGACACAGTGGAATAGGCCTATAGGGGATACCACTAACAAAAAAAAACGCATCAACAATAGTACCTCAAGGGTGATGTGGAAATCTATTGATTCGCGTGTCACCTTACCTTTTATATTTTCAGATTATATTAATTTTCTTTTTTGTTATGTTGTAGCAACGAATCATCTGGACTATTGTTACGAAGTTGACACAAGTGTGATACCCGGAGACACAGCGATCGTCGTAATGTTGACCGACGACTCGGCGAACGAGCATCAGCTGGCAAGGTAAGCAGAAGAGAGGAATTTTAATTTTTAAATCTTGAAGTATATCTTTCATTTTTTTCCGCATTTTGTTAATATACCTTTTCTGTCTGGTTCAATAGCAAATCATTTGGAATGTTTATCTTCGAGATGATAATGGACGACGCGGAGAAAAAGCCGTTTCGAAAACGTTCAACAGCTCACAAGGGAAGGTCGTGATCCGGACGAGCGCTTTTTGAATGAGACGGGTCGGCATCATGCTGCCGAATATTGTTAGTTATGACAGAAAAGAGCAAAAGTAGAGTCCCTATGCCAGCTTGCGCTCTAGTTTGAACATTTATCTAGCGGAAACAAGTTTTGAGAGGTCTCGAATCTGCATTGTCGAGACATAAATAGGACAATACGGAACCTTTGCAGTCTCGTAGGCACACGGACATGCTACGGAGCGTTGCATGTGTGAGTGTGTTCCGGCACGGCTGCTCGCTCCAACGATACATTGTCGTTGACGTCTCGCTTGCTTATAAAGCTTACCTTACCTTATCAGCAGCATATTTTGAACAGCAGAAATTGCATTCAGCTCCTCTTCCGGCCTAAATGTTTTACTTAATTTACTTCTTCTAGCGGCCGCTCGGTTTTTATGTCGCGTTGATCTTTTCGGCGGAGTCCACTCCCTTAACTACTATCTATTTCCCCTAACTTATATGTATATATAAACCTAGACCTATCCTAACATACCTATATTTCACTTAAACGCACATAGATATACCAAAACTATATAAACATGTCAAACATATAAAACATCTAAACATATAGACACCAAAACATATAAACTATCCATAAATATATTCCATATAAATATACACATACATATGTTGCCCCTCTCTAAGTCACCCCCCATCCTCTTATCTCTGTCTTCCACCTCTCTCTTTACTTTCCGCTCTTTTCCTTTCGCTTTTTCTCCAACTTCCTTACGCATTCTGCAACTCTCTCCTCTGCCCTCCCCTCTACCAATGTTTCCTCACTTAATTCCCCTCTTTCTAGCTCCTGACATTCCTCAGTGTAGTGTTTCAGTGTTCCTATCTCTAGATTACACAATACACCTCCTATCCTCCTCCCTCAGCCAATACTTGTTCTCTTCTTCCAAATTTCCACATCTTACCCTCGCAATATATTTTTGGCTATCTTCTTTTCCTGTCTTACTAGATATTCCGGTCGTAGCATCGTTACAATATATTTAAATCTACTATTGTATTTAGCCTCTCTTATTTTATTGAATTGCACTTGTCTTTGTACTTGACTGTCTCTCTCCTTTAATTCCTTCACAACGTCTCTCCCTTCTTCTCGTAATACCTCAATTCCCGCTTGGATATACTCAATTCTCCTGAGATAATCTGTTTTTTCTCTGCTATTCCTGGTCTCTACTGTTGTACTTTCCTACTCCTTTAAACATTCCTTCACTAACACCCTTCCTTCTGCACTCCTGACTTTCTCTTCGAATCTCAACGCTTTTATTCCCGCTCTCATCCTTATTTTTTCCCTTTTTGACTCCTCTAGTAATATATATAATAATGTGCAGCAATCCAAGCCTAGACACCACCTGATATATTTCGTTTGAGTCGCTTCTAATTCTGCTCTCTCTTTCCATCCGAAAATCTCCGCCCCATACAACATTACTGCTGTCACCAGGCTGTCAAACATTAGCATCCTTTTTCTAAAATTCTTCTTGAATTTACGTTCCCCTATACCCCATATCGGCCTGATTATTATATTAGCTTTCTTCGCTCTCTCCTTCACGTGTCCGACCATGTCCCCATTCCTTTGGAAACGTACCCCCAGGTATACAAATTCTTTTACTGTTTCCAGAACCTTAAATTTCCATCTCCACTCCCTCCCTCTCCTCTCCCCCCCTCCTTTCTTAAAAACCATTATTTTGGATTTTTCCGCGTTTAGAGTTAACTTTCTTTTCTCTAGATAGCTTTCCAGCGTTTTCAACATCTCTTCCAACTCTTCTGCCCTCTTCGATACCAACACTATGTCATCTACATATGCCAAGGACCAAAACTTTTCTTTGCCAATTACCATTCCTCCTGCCTGTGCTTTCCTCAACACCTCTCCCTACTTTGATATAAATATCGCAAACAGTGTTGGGCTTATCGGACATCCCTGTCTTACTCCTTCACTTGTCCAAAAACTTTCCGACGATTCTTTCCCTACTTTCACTACATTTTCCGTTTCCTGATACATTTCCTTAACTCTTTCAATCAACCCCCTACGTATTCCTCTTCTCTCCATCACCCTCTAAAGTTCTTCTCTTGACACCTTGTCAAACGTTGCCTTTAAGTCTATAAATATCGTATATAGCTTTCCCCTCTTCTTAGCTATCTCTCTTTCCAGTATGTGTTGCAGTACATAGACATTATCCATCGTCCCTCTATCCTTTCTGAAGCCTGCCTGCGACTCTGGTAGGATCTTCTTATCCTCCACCTCCTTCTTCAGTCTCCCATTTAGCATTGCCGCGTATATTTTATATGCTGTACTCAGAAGTGAGACCCCCCTATAATTTTTGGCCTCCTCTGTATCCCCCTTCTTATGAATCGGGACTATAATCCCTTTCCTCCAATCCCTCAGGAAACCTTCCCCTCTCCATACCTTTTCTAGTATTTCTCTTAGTTTCTCCCTAGTCCTACCCTGACAATGTTTCCATGCCTCCGCTGGTATCCCGTCCTCCCCTGACGCCTTCCCCTTCTTCAACTTCTAGGTATCTGCTCCTCTATTTCTCTATGAGACAGCTCTTCCTCTCCATCTCCTTCACTCCCTCTTTGCCTTCTTACTTCAGTCACTTTTTCCTGACTTCCCCCCAATAGGTTTCTGAAATGTTCTGCCCATTCCTCTATTCTGATGCTCTTTTCTATCATGATTCTCTTTTTCCGCTCTTTGTTTATGTACTTCCATATTTGCGCCTCCGTTTTTGCCCCTTTGATCTCTTCTAATTCTTCTTCTTTTTTCCTCTTTTCTTTCTCCTCATATAATTTCCTTAACTCCGTTCTGCCTTTCACGTATTCTTCCCTTTCCACCTTTCCTGCCTTCCATTTCCTGTACAGTCTTTTCAGTTTCCTTTTTCTTTGTCCACACTCTTTATCCCACCGGAGTTTATATTCTATCTTTCTTTCTTTGATCTTCCTCTTTCTCCTTACTGCACACTCTCGTATTCCTTCTCCTAATTCAATCCAACTCTCTTCTACTCCTTCCTGTTCGAATACTCTGTCACCTGTCTTATCTTTAAAGGATTGCACTTTGTCTTCCTCCCAGCACCAACTTTCTATTTCTTTTTTCGCTCTTTTCCTTTCCTTCCTCTTCTCGGATTTCCGTCTCCCCAAGTGTGATAACAATAGGCTGATGATCCGATTCCACCCTGCTCATCACCTCACGCCTTCCGCTTGTATTGTTTCTTCATTTACACCCCACCGGTTACTTACTCCTGTGATAATTCCCCCCATCGCTCTTCCTTTTTCCTTTTCCAGTATGGCATATTGGCATTTTCAATTACATTCCTTTGGCATTATATTTTTTATCTTCTCCCAACCTTTTTCATTAATCCATGTTTCCGTCAAACCTACAAAGCCAAAACCCTTCACAAATTCCCAGAAATCCCTGTCTTTGTTGAGCACTTCAGCTACATTCCAAAATAACATTTGATCCTTTCTTTCCCTTCCCTCTCTCTCCTCTTTCGATTCCGTACTGTTCCTCCTTTCACTCATTGCTTTTTCCCTTCTTTCTGTTTCATCGAGCAACCTTGTTTCTCTACGTTTACCACCTCCAAACTCCTCTGCTACCTTTACCCTCCTCGGTTGCTCCCTTTCTAAAAAATCTGGCTACTTACCCCTCCCGCCCTTTCATTCCACTTCACCCAATCTCCGTTTATTCTTCATTTTTGAAATCTCACTCTGACTTCCTTTCCCTTACTTCTCTCCCCCCTCGCGATTTCTATTAGTTTATACTGTATTTCCCTCTCGTGTCTCGTTAAATCATGATCTATGAATACCTTCGTACCTCTTAACCCCCTCTTATTTCTCATAATCTCTTGCTTGTCTTCCCAACTTTCCATTCCCACTATTACTACACTCTTTTCCCCTCTACCGATTTCCTTTGCCCAAAATATCTTACTCCTTACTCTTAATTCGCTCTGCAGGAAGTTTTCAATTTGCGTTTTTATATTGTCTTGCCGTACCTTTAGACTCTTTATTACTAAATTGTTTTTCCTTTCTATTTTTTGTTGCCTTTCCATCCACTCTCTTATTTTTACCACTTCCCCACCCATCTCTTTTTTAACCTTATTAACCACTATCGACTTTATTCTTTCTTCTAAATCCCTTCTTTCTTGCCCCGAGCTAATACAGCTATTTCCCTCCCCAGCTCTAGTTAACTGCCCTACTTTATTTTCTACGTCCATAATTTTATTTTCCATTCCTTTTACTTTTAACTCTCAGTCTATTTCTTTTTCCCGCATTTTTTCCCTAATTTCTATAATTTCTTCCGCGATCCTGATATTATTTGTACGTATTTCCTTTTTCAAACTTCTTATTTCATCCACCAACCCAGCTAACACTTTCAATATTTCTTCATTGCCTGTTTTTCCTGTCGCAAACTATCCTGTCATCTACTATCTCTTTCCTACCTTTGTTTATGAATTTCTCCATTCTTTCTTTTTCCTTCTCGTGTCTCGCTGTTTTATCGGCATTTGTTGGCCGACCTCTTCTTGTCGTTCTCGGCTCTGCCACTTTTTTCGTCTACCGTGTCTACTTTACCTACTGCCCCCTCGTCGTCCGAACTATCATGCTCTGATTTATAGCCGTCGTTGCCCATCACCTAACCTATTAATCGGCTGAATCACACAAAATCAGCCGTAACACCCCTTTATATTTTTTTTACACCTCACCTTCACTTGCCCTTACTCTTCCTCTTGTATCCTGCCTAATCCTTATCACTGTGTCTATAACTATCGCTACACTACTCGCATTAAACGCTTTTCTTACACTCTACTCTCGCTACCCACACGCACACCACCACTCCTCCTAACCAAGTCCCCTCTTGCTGCAGGAGTGGTTCGAAAGTATTTCGGTAAGGGCCTTCTTGATTTCTGTTTTTCTTCTTTCTTCTTTCCGACAGTATTCCCGTTCCTATTCATTAGTTCTTCTTCATTTTTATCAGTTTCAAAATATTCCTGGTTCCTTGGGTTTTCCGGGTTCCTTTCCTTTTCCTTTTGTTCGTTCCATTTATTTGTTTTATACACCAGTCCAGGCACTTCCTTATCTTTCCAATATTCAACCTTGTGCTTGGCTTGTAGGGGTGGAAAGTCCCATTTTTCTTGTTTTACATTCATGTTAGTTCATTCCATGTTCTCACTACGGTATTTATTCTCTATATATGTTTTCCCCGTATTATACGGCCAGTTTTGGTACGCCATCACCTTTTTTATATTGATTTCCTTCTGATAGATGGGACACTCTCTTGCCATACTGGGGTGAGAGCCAGCACATTTTGTGCAGTGAGGCTGTTTTTGACATTCTTCATGTCTCTCTTCCCCGCACCTTCTACAATTACTCACACTGCTTCTGCAAATTTGTTGTGAATGCTCGTATCTGTAGCACTTAAAACACTGTTTAACTGACTCCATAAAAGGTTCAACTCGTAACCACACATGACCATATCCGATTAGTACCCTCGTTGGAAGGGAATCTCCTTCGAAGGTTATAAGAATAGCTCTTCCTTCTGTCCATTGAACTTCACCGTCTTTATATATCCTTTTCTTTAATCTTTCCAACTTGAATTTGCCCTGTACTGGCATAAGTTCGGCTTCTAGTTCTTCTACGCTATCTTCCCATTCATGGATTACTCCTTTTCTTATCATTTTCCTGAATGGAATATTCGCATAGCATTTACGGTTTTCCTTGTTACCTTCCATAATTATATAGTTTGCTTCTTCCTTGTTCCTGTAAATTATATCAGTCCGATTAAAACCAACCATTTCTATTGATATTGGTGTTGGTTTGAACTGCCTGATCCATCGATATATTTTAATCAAATTATTTTTTTTGTTTTTAGACACGTGCTTTTTTCCAAGGCCTACAGTCACCGTGTACTCCTTGCTCGCCAGATCCTTATCATATAGCTGAGTTAATCTCTTACCTTGTATGTTCGAATTATCCTTGTCTCGAAAATGACTAATTTCCTCCTTATTCCTAGTATTTTTATTTGTTAATGCTTCTATATTTATTCCTTTTTTTATGAGCTCACTTACTTCCTGTAATTGTAGTAAGCAATGTTGGTTAGTTTTGTTTGATTTCGATTCGCTATGAGACACATGTGTGTCAAAATGTGTAGTTTGTGTTTTAGTCACTTTATCACCCTCTGATCTTGTCTTTTTCTATTTGATTTCTTTACCTGCGTTTTTTGTGTTTCCCATTCCTCCTTGATTTCCTCTACTTTTCTCTTTTTTGCAAGCCACCACTCACTGTCCTTTGTTCTATCCTGATTTTCTTTTAAAATACCTAATTTCTCTTGGTTCCTTTCCTCTCGAGTTCCTATGTTCGTCTGAAACTCTTTGTTCGATCTCGCTTATCCTTTCCCCTCCTTCCCCAACTTAACGGTTGTTTCAATTTCTTCTTTTCCCACCGGGGGGCAGGTTTGTGGATCTTTGCTGGTATTCTTGTTTCCTGTCTTGCACGGTGGCGTTATAGGATTGGTGGATTTCGTATCCTCCGTCTTCCTATTGGTGGAAGCCAGGCCTGTGTCACAAGTGGCTCCCTCAATTTTCTCTTCCGGTTTTTTTCCCATTTGTCGCACATTTTTTTAACAATAGCTTTATATTCTTCTAAAATTTCTAAATCTTCACATATTCCTTAGTCCTCATTTTCCTTAGTGTTCTTTTTAACTTCCTTTGACTCAATCGTTTCTATTTCCATTTCCTTTCCTTGATTCTCTATGTTTCTCTTCGTTTCCTCTACCGTTTTTTTTTAACTGGGTTCTCTTTCCTGGTCTTTTTTCCTGTTGTTATCCATTTTTTAGATGAGAAACTGTTTTTCCAAGCGGGTTCCCCCGCGGGGGGTACATTTGTTAAACGACCACTCTCTATGCACTATAGTTTCTAACTTTTAGGTAAGGATAAAACGGGGTATCACTACCCCCACTCCCCACACCTCCTAGTCTTTTAGCCCTTTTCTAGGGGCTTTATGCCCTAGAGTCCTTCAAAACCCTGTTACCCTAAAGTCCCTACCCCTCGGAAAAATTTCTTAACGGGTTTCACTACACTTTAGGATTTTTTCCCGGTTTTTCACCATAAAAGTTCGGCACGTATCTACAACACGTCTTATCTCCTCGGCCGTTAAACCGGAAGTCGTTCAGGGTACTTCCATTCCCCCCTCTCGTCCAACGAAAACTTTTCTCAAGGAGCTAGTTAGTTAGTTGTTTATCTAGAGACGCGGTAGCGTCTCGACGCCAAGTACATGAAAAATTATACGCCACCGTGTATACTGGCGCTAGCGCTACCACGTATCTTTTACTTGTAAAACTGCGATTCCAACTTAACCCGAAACTTCTGTCATTAATATCTCGTCACGTCTGCTGTATTTTCTAAATCTAAAGGCATTTTTCTAATGTAAATCGCATATAAGCTTTCTAATAAAACCAAAATCGATAAAATCGGTCTATGTACAACTGAGATATCGTAATATCATGTCATGAATCAGTCAGAAATTGAAGATTTTTCTTCTGATTCTGATTCTTATTCTTTTCGTCACCACTTAGTCAATAGGAGCTAAGACCATTCGTCGATTCGTCAACTCTCGGAATCAGTCGGCAAGGCTCATCGATCGGAATTGTAATATGGCTGTCACTCATGCCGCTCGTTCATTTCTAACCTGTAACTGTCAGTTTGCATTTGTGACATTTGGTTTCTTGCAACAAGACTTTCTGACATGCATTGTGCGTACTTTTGAAAACTTAAAGGACTGAATCTGGTATTGTAATATAATAAATTGTGCGTTAGAAATAGTGGACCTTATTTTTTATTTCATACTTCATTTTTAAGCGACTTCGAAAAGGAGCAGGTTACTCAATTCGACATGTATTTTTTTTTTTTTTTTTTTAGTCTGTTCACCGTTTACGTCGAGATAGCTTAACCAATCGGAATGGAACCTGTTGCATCTTGTAGAGCATGTTCCCCCGGTGATCCTACTGTCAAGACTCTTTGCGATTTGTCATTTTTTACCCGTCTTCTTACCAAAAAACCGTGATTTTTAGGTATGCTTGCCGATTACGTCGAGATGGCTTGATGAATCGGAGTGAAACCTCTTGCATTTTGTCGAATATTTCTTCCAGATGGTCGCGTAAAAGAAACATTTTGTCTAGCTTCTTACTCCGAGACGGATGGACCAATCAGATTGAAACTCCTTGCATCTGGAAGAGCATTTGCCATTTGGTCCCATAGTAAAACATTTGTCCTCGTCTTATCTTTTACCACTTTTTATCGCAAAAAGCGTACTATTTCACGTATGTTTGGCCTGAAACCGATGAAATCGATGAAACCCCTTACATTTTGCTGCCGGAGAGGTTTTCGCAATGATCACAGATGCAAAAATTTATGAATTTCTGTATTGCTTATAACTATTGTCATCGCAAAATTCCTATTATATGATGTAACTCCGTGAGGAAATTATCGAGCGCGATGGAACCTTCCGTATTTTATGATATATGAATTCATGATGTTCTAATTTGCAAAAATTTGTGAACACTTTTATTGTTTATAAAACCATTGTTGGAGCGAAATTGCTATGCTCTGGTGCAGCTCGACAAGGAATTTACCAAACGCAATCAATCCTTTCACATGTAGTTGCAGATGTATTCATGATAATCCCATTTGCAATTACACAGGGTGTCCAAAAAATGTTGGATGTCCTTGAATGGGGTGTTTCGGGAGGGGGAGGGGGGTAATTTGAAACAATTTTTTCTTAATGAAAATGTTGTTCGAGGCTTCATTAAAGAGATATTGACAGAAACCCCCGACCAATCAGAGCGCGAGTATGCCGGTGGAGCGCCTGTGGTAGCATAAGCCCCGCAGGCGCAGCACCGGCATACTCGCGCTCTGATTGGTCGGGAGTTTCTGTTTCTGGAAAATCTCCTTAACGAAGCCTCGAGTAACATTTTCGCTAAGGAAAAATTGTTTCACCCCCCCCCCCCCACACGGAACAAGTCTTTTCAAGGACCTCCAACGTCTTTGTGTCATCCTGTATATTGCTCATAACTGTTGTTATTGCATGAAACCTATTAGTTATAGATTGCCACTAAAAAGAGTAAAATAAAATAATTTTTTGGAAAACAAATTTAACCGACTTCGAAAAAGGTGTAATGAAAAGTATGAAATAATTTCTAGTTAATTTATATGAATACGCACTAGCTCTAGATATAATTGCTTAAAAGTATGGGAAAATGCAGTGAAAAGTGTGAAATAATTTCTACTTAAACTGCATTGTTATTCAACATCGTTTGATGAATTTGGTTAAATTATTAAATACATCATATTAAATGCAATGCACCTTTTTCGGAGGCGGCGCAAAATTTAGAATTAAGTATATTAAAAATTGCTAAACTTGGTTTAACTTTCTGTCGGAGAAACAAAAAATATGGTCTTTATTTATTGCTATCATTATAGCCACTTTGACTTCATATTCATTAACACTATTCAATATTGCCGCACCCACTACATACTATCCCAAACCTATTCATACAGTATTTCCATGTGGAGAGTTTATACATTAGCAGTAATCAATAAGGCCGCCACTCCCATCCAAAAAAGCCCCAAATCTACTCCCACTATATTTCCGTGTACGTACTATATACATTAACTATTAATTCCTCATAGACAACATGTATACATTGACAGCATTCAATATTGCCGCCTCTACCAAAACAAGACTTACAACAAGACTTTTTGCCATGTGTTCTGTGAGCTTTTGAAAACTTAAGGGACTGAATCTGGTATTGTAATATAATAAATTGTGCGTTATTCATATGACATTAATTTTATTTGTAAAAAACACATACACACCTTATTTTACTTGCAAATTAATGTAGAGCTTAAAATAAAAATACATTTGTCTTTTATTCTAGTATGCGTAGAGTCTACAATATACATAATGTGTCTGAAGCCAGAATAGGAAAGAGACCAGCTTCGGTTCTTTCAGTTTCCAAAAGTATACAGAACGCATGGGAAGATGTCTCACTGCAAGAAATTTAAATGTTAAAGATGAAGTAAGAAATGAAAAAAAGAAATCAACTATTTGTAACGCATAATTTATTGTATTAGAATAAAGTTCAGAAGTACGCAGAACGCGTGCCAGAAAGTCTTGTTGCAAAAAATTCGAATGTTAAAGATAAAGCGAGAAATGAAAAAAGAAATTCACTATTTGTAATGCACAATTAATCGTATTGCAATATCAGTTTCAGTCCTTAGAATTTTCAAAAGTACGCACAATGCATGTCAGAAAGTCTTGTTGTAAGAAACCAAATGTCATAAATTCAAACTGACAGCTACAGGTTAGAAATGAACGAGCGGCATGAGTGACAGCCATATTACAATTTCGAC